AGAAGACCTTCTAGCAATAGTTTTACACCACTTTCTACTGTCTTAACACAGGTGAGGACAGAGGTGTGAACAGACTCCCTCCCTCTTCTTTTGATTTGCATGTGGCCAACTCGTCCTATATTAGGAAAGATCTACTTCATATTTTGGCTCAGTTTGTTTTGTTTGGGAATATATTTCAACACAAAGCTCTAGACTGTGTTACATAAGCTGTAAATACATCTGGAAAAATCACTAATGATTAATGATTAATTTACTACCAAAGATTTATTTCTATGAATAACATTTTGAGACAAGCAAGTCAACACCAAACTCATCTGTCAGTATTAAATTAGCATGTTTTGTCAAAAGGGTTTAAATAACTTAGGAGAGAGAATGACATGGTTCAAGTCAGGTCCCGCTCCCAAACTTGAGATGATTGCATTATCTTCCTTTATGTAAGGTAGTATTTGTTGGGCTAAAATAATATTGGGCTAGATTTTTGTGTTTTCTTATTGTTGTTAATTGTAAACTTCAAATGTGCTGTCACTCTCGCACAGAACCCAGATTAGCTGTTTCTCATGCTGCCAATCTTTAAGCTAAGTTAAGTGGTAGCTTCATATTCAATAAGAAAGGTATGAGAGCGGATCAATACTCTTGTCTGACTCTCAGCAAATAAGCAAATTTGCGTATTCCTAAAATGTCAGACTACTCTTTTAACATGGCAGTGTATTAAATAAATTGTCTGCAAATCTTAATGGAGACACAGGATAAGTGTAGTTCCTGTAGGCCTGTGGAAGTGAGTAATTCTTAAACTAAATATCACATTCATTAGTAAACCCATCAAAATTGTGACTCTTTCATGTGATGCATATATAATAGCCCATTAGTGTTGAGTACAAACCTGTGGGAACTGTGAAAGTGTTAAACTGTGTGAACCTGTAACCTGTGTAGACATTTATTCAGGAATGTTTTTGTTTCTAAATGAAGTATTTCAGACTTCCACTGTGGTAATGGCAGTGTGTGGGAGCACAAGTGGCAGGGCCCAGCTATTTGAGTTTTTCCCATCTTCCTCCTCCTGCTTCGTGCTGTCGTCCCCCTCCCCCTTCCATTCTTATATTGTGTCTTTAACGAGTCACGTCCATCTTGCAATTATTATGAAATTAAAGCTATTTTCCATGGCTGATGTTTGCCCCAGTAATAACCACACTGAGATAGGCTTCATTCATTTAGCATTTTAGTTCAGCTCAATTCCTGTCGCATTAGCAAGAGGAGCAAAATCAGAGTGTCACTCAGATATTCTCCTTAATGGTTTGGCAATGGCCTGGCCTTTTTCTCTCTCTCCTCTTCCTTTCACAATCCTCCTAACCCTATCTCCCTGCCAATTACGCTGTTTAATCTATATGTAGATAATGGTGTCCAGGACCTCCCTGTTGAAATGTCAGGTGTGAAGAGGTTATTAGCTAACTTTTAATTACTGTCCATCATTCACCAGCCAGCAGGACAGATTGGCCCTTTCCGACTGTCCGCTTATCTAGTCTTTGTATGTTAGCTGCAGGCAGGGGAAAGAAAGACATTTAGCCAGGAGAGCACCAGGCCTCTGACTTAATATCGCCATTTTCACACTATTAACAGGACTTAGTGTTTGCAGGAAAGACACGAAAGGGAGGAGAAAATGATGTGACCAAGCAGATCATATGTCAAATAGTTTAATGGAAGCAGATCATGTGAATAATGGAAGACAATTTGAAATTTTAGAAGCCGAAAAGGAGGACATGAGGCAAGAATCAGCAGAGAAGAAAGTGGTTGTAGTATAGCACTGCACGGAGCTCTGCAAGTATACAAGTCTTTCTATATCAACAGAAGGCAGTTGAGGAGTGAGGAACCTGCAACATGGTTGCATACAGAGATTGCCCTGTTCATAGACATTAGTTAGATTTTCCTCTTCTTCAAATGTTTTAAAAGTCTGCAAACCATTTTCATGAACTCCCCCTGCCCTTGCATTAAAGCCTCTATTGTACATTTAAAGACCAGTAACCCCTGACCCAAATTCTGCTGCTCTTCACTTCCATTCCTCTTTCCAGTACTTGTACTGGGGCCCAGAATAATATGAGTGCTGACCACAAGCTCTGTCTGTATTCACTATGTAGCAGAGTACACGGGCTGACTTCATGATACATAAAGAAGTAGGCCTCTATCTAAACTATTTTAAAAGCAAACAAAGCCTACATTTTTGCACTTCACATTATTAAAAAAAGTCACATATTTTTTAAGAGTGAACACCTGCTGGTGTTTATTAAAAGTAACTTACAGCTGTTTGTACAGTACATGTTTTGTGATAAGTGAGTCGGGCAATGTCATGGACCTATTTAAACTCTTCTTTGGGGGGTTTTCATTTGTTGTATGAGTGCCTGCAGTTGAAATGTCTGTATGGTTGCGTAGTTCTCTCTGTGCAGGAGAAATTAACCTCTGAGTTCAATATATTTAAAGCTTGTAAAATACTTTTAACACCACTGCATATACCTTACAGCAGGACTAAATAAGACTTGTACCTTAAGAAGAGCAAACCTCTACAGTGTTATAAAGAGTTTCATGGCTTCATGTGTACTAGCAGATACGCATACAAACACACATACCTGCGGGGAAAGCAAACTCTGTTCAGCCCTTGAACTGTCTTTGAGCAGATTTACTATTTTAAACCCTACAAGGCCGAGCGCTGCTGATTACAGTGCCACAGAGAGAAATACTTCCCAAGCTCTTTTTTTTTTCTTCTCCTCCATCTTTTGCAGCTTACAGACAAATTCCGTTGGAGGCGGCGAGCTGGTATTCCAGCAGACATTCCCCCTGTGATGGAGCCTCTGGTTACAGAAAGTTACTTCTGGATCAGACACATAAACACATGCTCACATATGCACTGTGCTCAGACATTCCTCATTTTACCCAAGGAAAGGCTAAAATGGAAAGAGATAATTGGTGAAATCCCCAGAAATTCTGAAATGATGAGATAATCGTGGAATTATTTCTTGCCAGGCTGCACTTTCTTCTCTATTACTCTCTCTCTCTCTGTCTCTGGGCCACAAACGCCTCTGTGGCAAGTCCCTGTAAACTTGAACGTGTTTTCAAAGACCAGTAAAACTAACTATTCATTAGAGAACATCATTAAGCTGATTATTGTTTTTCATCCCAGCACCCTGTCTTTGAACTGGAGTTTGTGTGATATTTAAAACTTTAAGTGGAGCCTCTCTGTTCTGTAAAGAGTTTTGTGTGTGTGTGTGTGTGTGTGTGTGTGTTAAGACTCTGCTCTCTGAGCTCTGTGGTAAATTACAGCTGACCTATGAAGACCCTGGGCCCCGCTGCTCCTACCTTTGGAAACCCCCGTCATCTGGATCACATCGTGCTCAGATGGGGGGGCAGAGCAGAGCCTCCTCTGTCTGACAAAAGCAAAGGAGGGGGGCACTACAATGACAGTGAGGCAGATGTGTGTGTGTGAAGGGGTGGTGGTTGGTTGTGGGTTGTGCTCAGTGTGTAAAATAAAAGTAAATAAATTGGTCATATTGGTCCTGTCCATCTATACTGGAGAACACTTTGGTTGATCAGATGTCACTGGACATTGCTCACAAACTTCCTCAAAATACAGACTTCTGACCTTTACATCATGACTGACAAGGGATGAACATTACCAACCAAATGTGTCTTACCTTTAGGCTAAAAAATATCTATTGTAATTCTTAAAAAGATGTCATCGGTAAGCATGTGGTTTAAAGTAAGAGAAGTGTGGTTTTAACCAGAGTGTATCACCCAAAAACTGAAAGCATGAGCAATTGTTGCACCATTGCAAACATTTGTTCAGTAGCTGTAAACATAAGCAGAGTGTCCAATAAGTTGGTAGAAGATCTTACATTGCAACAAAAAGCATCAACTCCTCTAACCTGATGAGTTGCTGCCCCCTGCTGTAACACTGCATCCATGAAACCCTCGTGTGCCTGGACAGCGTAGGTTTAGACTTTAGACGTATTAATTCAGAGGTGATATATGATGATCTAACTGTATCACTAATAGACATGAATAAGCCTTACATTAATTGTAAAAACTCTAAAACCTTACAGCCTAGAAGCTAAAACAAAAAGCCCAAAATATCTTTGTTACTGGTGAATTACATATATTTGGTGGATGCTTAATGCTGGGGAAAACATAAAATCTGTTCTAAGTCCCAGTTTCAGAACCTGCCTTCAAATTCAGATACTATGGACAAGTAAAATAGTTTAGAGAAAACTGTCCTGTAAGTATTATTGTTTAATTCTCGGCAATAGAAGACTTTTTTTCTTTCTCTCACTCTCTTTCTGTATGTGTGTGGTCTTTATTTTGTCTTTTTTATTTGAGGACCCAAAACCAAAAGTCTACTCACACTGTAATGCCGGTCTCCACAAAGTAAATAACTGACTTTCAGGGTGACAACTTGGTTTAATATTAGGGTAAGGTTAATGTTTGGGTTAGGGTTAGGCAAATACAGTAACAGTTATGGTTAAGGCTAAGGTATGTCTCCTGGAAATGAATGTGAGCCAATGTAAAATCCCCACAAGTGTTGAAAACAAGGGTGTGTTTGTGCATGTTGGGATATTATATTTCATCACAGGTGTTGTTAACAGATAGTGCAGGACTCTGCGTGCATTGAATGTGAAGCGACAGTAATCGGGCTTCAGCATAATTACAGCAATCAAGGGAGTAAAGATGTTATTTAGGATAATGGCACTCCATACCACTATAGAAATAAAATACCTTGTAATTTCCTGGCTGGGTACAGAAAACACGCTCCTGGATGAGACTCTGTTGTACCTTTTGTTGCTGTTGTGGATTATTTGGATTCTTGGCTGCATGGAATTTTCTTATTAGACTATGTTTGCTTTATTTTTCATGTAAATAGTTGAAAACAGACAATACAATAAAAGTACATTTTTAATGCCTGAAAACAATTTATTACAAAACGATTAATAAAGATAACTGATAAATTAGCAATAAAACTCAAAAACGGTTGTGTACATTTATTTATCTTTACATGCGTGATACTTCCACATATTGTATTCTTTGATAGTTTGACAGCTGCGTTAGTGCCCACACTGGATGAGAAAGACATTGTGGATACATTTAACTAAAATTACTCTAGTGACTGGCATTGTTTGTTAAATTATTGTTTGAGAGGGAAGAAAATCATCACTCATCACGTCACACTCTGCACAAACACACTCTCACATGCTTGTCTGTGCTCCCTCTCACGCGTACACACACAGGCACGTTCGATCATGTTATTCATTCTTAAAACCTTAATTCTGTTAGTACATTCAGTAAGTGATGCAGTGCCTCAAAATCAGGCTGCTTCACTAATTTTGCCAAAGTCATTTTAGTTAGTTTTTGTTAGATTATTAGTTTATTAGTGGGTTAGTCGGTTAGTTTACAGAGAGCTATGAAAAGCTCTGCAGGTTAGTAACTGTTAATTTTACTTTAGGAGATGTTAGTAGTTTATCAAGAGAACAAAACCGTGGTGCTTGTTCACAGTAGGTTTTCCCATTGCTATAAAGGACACACTCCTCACACCTGACGATGTTTTGGATAAACGCTTCCATGGAACATCATTTAATGAACATCACTGGCACTGCAAGGCATGCTGGGAGCTAACTCAAGATTAACAAAGAGACATCAGGATTGAACAAAATGTTGCAGCCATTGAACAAAAGGTGTTAGTAAGAGCAACAGGTGGACCTTTGCAGCCTCACCGCTGATAGCATCAACGCTAAAAGGAGTTAGTAGTGGAGCCAAGGTTTGCTCAGCTTGTGTCTTACTGCATTACCTGTGGTGACGACAAGCCGGGCGTTCACCTGTAAAGGTTGACCACACAGTGAGCAGGCAGAGACACAAAAGCTGGTCTCATATGATGTAAATATATCCTGTGAAGTGTGACAGGTTGGTAATATGATTTGGAATCACATCATAATTTGGTTTTGTAAGGCTTCCTTTCAAATATGTGGCCAACCCAGTTTCATATCAACAGCTGATTCTGCTCTTCTTCATCTTGTGGTTAAAGACATTTCCCTTCCCAAGTCCTGAAACCCTTCTTCACGTGCTTACTGTAACATTTTTACAGATTTTCTTCTTTATTCATTAATCTAAGATGGTCATTTCTAGAAGAAGTTTTGCAGGATCATGAGAGAGGAGTGTGTGTGTGTGTGTGTGCATGAAGCAGAAGGTTAGTCAGTGGGTTAGAGAGAAAAAGCCCAGCCATCAGCATTCAGAGTACAGGTTAGTAATCATTCAACAGTTAGCAGATATTAGTACTGTTAGATATTAGTGAGATATCGTTAGTACAATCCAGACTTGGGTAAAAAGCTATTTGCATATATTATTAGCATTTGAAGTTGTTAGATGATGGGACTGTAGGCATCAGGATATTTTAATTAATGCCAACAGACATCATATAAAAAACTACACATTCATTTCCAGCAACACTGCTGTGATTACTCAAACCACAAAAATCCACACCTACTTTAATGAGGTTGTAGCAAATGCTAAGAATTTTTGTAAATATTTTTAACCCTTGTCTGGTACATCCAGTGCTGATAAGAAGAGCTTTGGGCATTTTAAAAGTTTGTAGCTACAAGAAAACAACTGTAAATGTATGTTTTATCAGCTAGATATAATGTGCATGCACAAACAGAGGGACAAACACACACACAAATAGAGCACATGCACACAAACAAATGCACTCACACAGACATACATACAATACACCCACACATAACAGTAGAACTACGCATGTACTGTATGGAGTATATTATAATACTTGGTATTACACCTAAATTAAGAGGTTCCAAGAAAAACAAAAACATACTGTGTGAATTACACATTGTCAAATGTGAGAAAACCATTCTCACACATTTGGGCAGATTTTTTTTTTAACATCACAGGCTTAAAATATCACAGCTTTTCCGTTCTGGCTCTGACGTGGATACATGCTAGTTTTGGTGAGAAGTTAACACAAAGTTAAAACACCACTTCTGGTGAATTTAAAGTGTCTTCTCCAGGAGAGAAGTAACCATGACGTTAGACATAGTAACCAAGGTAACAGAGTGAAAAGGTGGCTGCAGTGTCAGTGTTTTTTATCAACCAAAAAAAAGACAGAGGGAGTGGGGGTGGAAGTAGCTATGTCAGTAAGACTCACAGCCAGCTAAAACACACATTTTTTGAAAGAACACTGCACTGCAGCAAATTATTTTAGACTCAAAACACCACCCGTTAAATACCTTCCAGCTAAATTCGATCACACTGACACTGACTACAAAAGAGTGGTGACATTTGCAACTCTTCAAAAGCCATTTTCACTGGTACACACAGTCAGCAGAAGTCATCTCTCAGTGGGGTAAGATTTGCACAAGGATCCAGTCCTTCTGAAGGTACAGGGCAGCAGTTGTGGCACTTTGCATCAGTCCCTACAGGAGAAACAACATGACAGAAGTGAAGAAATATTTTCCATGAACACATTCCTGTTGGTCTCTTTTACATCACATGCTTTTAAAACTGTTTTTTGCCCTGGTCTAATTTTTTTCCAGGATGATCCTCTACAATGTTGAATAAATAAATGTAAAAAAGCAGATTATGCTAATATGATTTTGTCATGGTCTCCACTTTCAGGTTTCTTTATCTCCCCTCTTAACTATAGTCCTGGAAAGGAGAGTAACATATAAAATATGAAAGCAATTTAACACATAACTAATCTCCCATGTTCTATTCATTCCTATTTATCTGCACTCTCAGCCAGCACAGAGGCTTAACAAGCATACACACAGGGGCACAATATATGCAGGAAAAACCTAATTAGAATCTTAAAAATGGTGACCATGATGAATGTAAAAGTCACAATGATGTAACTCTACTGACAGATCCTGTACCAGTCTGTGGAGGCTGCACAGCAGAGGGAGATGGTGCGATGCTGCCAGTCGTACAATGAGGTCCAGTGCAAGCGCTGGTCTGCTTTTAGTCGCTGTAACTGGAGAGGAACACACAACACAAAGCAGCACAAGTGGGACTCAACCCAACTGTCCTCTCAAGACACCCTAGGGACTGTTCTACCATTTCACTGTATCTCCTCACTGTGTTTTATTTAGACACAAATGAAACTGCAACACATCCACTGCTAAAATAAAAATAAAAAATCAATTGATATAGGCTTTACTGGGTTATCGTCAGTTATTTAACTGACTAAGTAGTGCTATTATATTCTCCATCTGGTATGTACCAGGGAAAATTAACCTCCCTCATGGTTACAGTAAAGGTAATGCGGTCTGTACACATAACCTGTCCTGTTGTTGGTCCCCATGTGGATCCTCCCAGTGTTCTGACTGGTGACACATCAGCTGCCCTGTAGATGAATGCAGTGCAAAGTCCATGCAACACTGACCATAAGGTTACCTAAAAAAATAAACGCATACTGAAAACGTGTGTGAAATATTTTACAGCTGATCATAAATATATAATTCATGTTACAGAAGATGAACAATGGCTGCAGCTCATGTCTATCTGAAAATTAAACACCATGTAGACTACACTGTACTGTATGTACTGGAGCTCCATACAGCAACATACTGTGCTGTTTGAAAGTAAATAACCTTAATTCTAATTTGGCTTGTGTCCACCAGAAATAGAATTAATATAATTAAGCATATTTCAGTATTCATAAACCCTGTAAGGACGTCAAACTGAGACATTTACACACCAGGCTCTCCTTAGTGAGTCTAAATTAATCTACTCTAACAAAAAATACATTCAGTTTATGATTAGCGCAATAAAACATTCACTGTAAAGGAAAAAAAAATGTTTATAGAAACCATTAGGCATAAGATGTTTTGTCTTACCAGTGCTCTCCGGGTTTACCCTGTCCCGCAGCATAAAACGGTGTGAAAAGATTTTTTACTTCTTTTGTTTTCATGCTGGGAGGAAGCTGGTCTGAAAATCCACACCGTCTGTGTGCAGTGTCTTCGCCTGCAATAAAAGACCGGTTGCCTCCTGGATCTACACGCTACGCACTAACATGATCCGCGGTGGAGCGTCGTCTATATGGCTGCCGAGCTGAAACAAGCAGGTGTGGGAGCACCAACAACAGCTGCGCACTGACGGGAGTGCGATCCAGGGAGAACAGGATAAAGCGCAGACAGAAGCCCCGAGACAAAGAAAATGGATGGATGGGATTGCAGAGAACAGCGACGTCTTTGACTAAACGGGACTGCACAGAGCTGAATTAATCAGAGGTCTCGGTTTCCAGCTGCTGCCACAGGTTTATGGTCGTTTGTATGCGCGCCCTTCATCCACCATCTGTGTTTCCTGGGCAACCGAGGACCGCTAGCAGGCATCAACACCACCATTTGCACAGCAATCACCTCCAACATCTAAATAAATAAATAAAACACTACCGTATTCTACTCGAATTTTACCTCAAGAGAAATAGCCTCATGTAATATAACTAATGTTTTATATGCAGGCTATTCTAAAATTTAATTTACGAACTGATTTCTCCACATACCTACATGGCCAAGCATTCTCTTTACTTTTAGCTATTGCTGCACACAGATGAAACCAACTTGCTGATGACCTTGACCAGCACCTTCAAGTCTGAACTGAACACTGCTGTTTTCCTGTGCCTTTGTTTGACTGGTTTCTATGCTGCACCTTTTGCACTGTAACTGCAAAATAATTGTGTTTAAGACCTTTATGTTTGTCTATTAGTTTTTAATCTCACTTTAACAATGTTTTATGATCATTCTGTCCTGCTTTTATTCTGTCCCCCACATTTCTGTCAGATAACTCCTCACTTCTCCCAGTATATTGCTGCAGTCACAAATTCTTTGGTATTCTGGTGTTTATTTCTTTTGTTTGCATTGGAACAACACAAAAAGTGAAGAAACAAAGCTAAGTCTCATCCATTCTGCACAGAACTTCAAAAATAGACTGGACACAATTATTGACACCCTCAACTTAATATTTGGTAGCACACCGTCTGGACAAAGTAACTGAAACCAATAACTGTAACCATCAGTGAATTTCTTCCACCTTTCTACTGGAGTTTTGGTCCACTCTTCTTTTCCCAGCTGCTCCAGGTCTCTCATATTTGAAGGGTTCCTTCTCCCAGCTGCTGTTCTGAGACACATACAGCAACACAGTACAATACTGAACACTTGAATACTGAAGACCAATGTAACTTATAATCAATCATTTTCTCATTCACTCTATTTTTGCTGTTGACATTATACCATGAAGTATTTGACACATTACACTTTTTATATGGTTGTAAACTAATAACATTCATACAGTCGTTAGTGTACCTGAACATAGCAAATGATTCATTATATATTTGTCATTGTGTTAACCGACTCCATGTTGTGACCTTCACACAATGTCCTTTTCTCTCCACTTAGTCTCAGATGACAAGTCAGAGCTCTGAGAGTAACATTCCGTGCAGCAACATTAGTCTCTACCTTATTCATGGCTTCACAGGTGAAGGGTGCTTTGTCAAAGTCGCCAAGTGCGTGAAATTAATCACATCAAAGAACATATGGCCCTCGATTTTCTGAAGAATGAGGATGCTGCGAAAAGACAGGTAAATCTTTTTTTGTTTACTGATACCAGACTATTTCACATATAACACCTGTGTAATTTTACTTGTTTTCTCCACAGATCAACATGGTCGACGTAGTTAAGGTTCTGGACCCCGTTGAGAAGAATATCGTTCTTAGAAAAGTTTGGACAATGGACAAACATGTCTAGTTTTTGCAGTGTTAGGAGTCTTTTTCAACTGTTCTGAGAAAGACACTGGCATCCACTGTCTCTCAATGATATACATCCAATAAGGCATCCGGTAAAGACTTGGTGACTTTGGTCAGTCACTAAGTAATGGCAACACACTTGAGTGAAGGGGTCTCTAACATGTCGCTCAAGAGCCACCAGTACCGATTCTGAATAGTGGCCATCTTGGCTGCTACGGTGGCTGGATGGCTATGGCCATAGCTGCGATAGCTGCTGTAACAGCTACGGCAGCTGGAGTCTGTAGCCATCTTGGCTGCTACAGCATCAGGCATGTTTATTTAGCCTATGTGCTTTTCTTTGCTTTTTATTGCCTGTCATAATTAATAATCCTGGTTTGTGTGAAAATCAGTGCTTGATGCGTTTAAGCTGCAAATATACTTGGCTGAATTCCGTCACTATATAAAGTAAAGGCTGTTGAATAAGCTTTAGTTGTACATGGTTTTAGAGCAAAGGGCTGCATGTAAACACAACAGTGATGAGCTTGGTATGTCATTGTGAGCACGTCATCAAAAAAATAAAGTGAGAAAGGGCCTGGTAGAGTTCAGCTTTCTGGCACTCATCCATTTCTGCAATAATCAACCGGTTTACAATTGCCCTTTACCTTTGTTAGATTACATTACACAACTGTATTATACAAATTTTTTGTTAGACGATTAAAAAAAACAACAAATTTACAAATGAAGCAAGATTTTTCATAACTGCTAATTTCTATTTGAACCTCAGTAATTTCAAACATTCAGCACATTTCAAACTGTGCACAGCACAAGCTGAACACACAGTAACCATTTTGGTCTACACAACACAGCCCCACTGAACGGAAACAAACCAATACATCACATGATATGTGGTTTTTGGCCACAGATTTTCCCATCACTGTGCAGTGTACTCATCAGAACAACATTCTTGCCTTTCTTTGGCACATAGGACACCAGGGACATGTCAGCTGTGTACACAAGCTTGGAAGACTTCACAGACCTGTCCTTTGTAATCAATAGTTGAGATGGGAGCTCAGACTTGTTTTTGCGAATAGTTCCCACCATGGTCAGCTTCCTCTTCAGGAGCTCCTGTCCCAGCTTGTGCTGGGTAAAAACATTGTATCTTGAAGTTGCACGGACAAAGTAAACTGATATGGTTATTGGCTGAGACCTGAGCTACACTGGTAACATATCTGTCATCTTTGACGGAAGTACCAGGTTCAAATCCTGGCGAGAGTGCACACACACCCTCTGCGGCCATTGCCATACCTTGTTCCGTTCTCTTTCGCCCACTTCGCGTGTCTTCTCCCTTCTTCTTCTTCTTCTTTTTATTCCAGTTGTCTTCTTTTGTGGTACACTCAAAACATTATGAATTAATAGAACATGAGATAAAAAAAATTCCTCAACACCCATATAAAATGGCTATAACACTGTGCAGCTGCATATTTTAACTCATTATAATAAATTATGAAATTACCTAATGATTTATCATGTGACAAAAACAAATACCTTAATGCATCACCATAAAGACAAAATACGCTCTGGTAAGAAAAAAAACAATATTCTGATTCCGTGAATAATCAGATTACTACATAGAAAAGACGGAGGGTACGTCATTACTTGACATGGTGTCAGAAGTGGGATCGCAAGAGGCGACGCCCAAATGATGGTAAAAAAAATAAGTAAATAAAAAGAGAGAAGAATAAGAGAAAAAAATGCCAAGTTTCAAGTCACCGGAAAACTTCAGCTTCGACAAGCCTGGAGAATGGCCAACATGGCGGCAGAGATTCCTGCATTACCGCACAGCAGCAAAGCTGAAGGAAGAGGATGAAGAAATCCAAGTAAGCACGTTAGTCTATGCGATGGGAAGCAAGGCGGAAAATGTAATGAAGTCATTTACATTCCCCTCGGCTGATTCCGAGATGGACTTTGACCATGTTTTGAAACAGTTTGACGATTATTTTATTCCCCGAAAGAATGTCATACATGAGAGGGCCCAGTTTCATCAGCATGTACAGAAACCCGATGAAAAGGTTGAGAATTTCATCCGGGCACTTTATGAACTGGCTGAAAGTGTGAGTTCGGTGAGAGGTAAAGCGAGCACATCAGGGACAGACTCGTTGTGGGCATACGGGATAAAGAATTGTCAAAAAGACTACATCTTTCTAAAGAACTGACATTAGACACAGCAGTCCACATGATCAGGCAAGCCGAGGAGGTCGAGCTGCAAATTAACCAGCAGGGGGAGTCTTCGTGCTGTGTTCAGGAGGTGCGGCACCACAAATGGCAGCCAGGAAGAGCG